TAACAGATCTGTCCTGGAACCCCACCTGCTGTCAACAGCCTTGATGACCCTGGACCAACTGTCTTCTACAGTGATGAAACCAAGAGATGCAAGATGAAGACGTTTGGACTGATAATGTTCTGACTCAGGAGGGATAGCTGATTTGTTTGCATCCAAGACATAAGGAAGATAGTCAGGAACACCAACCCTCAAAGATTGGAAGCAGTTGGTGAAACGAATGATGTCATGGGAGGTGGCAGAATCAATCACATGTGATGCAGTATGACACTTTTGATGAGGGAGGGCAACAAAAGAATTGGGAGACAGACAACATTTATTTGCCAGCTATGCCTGGAGGAAGCAAAACTGTATCAGAAACAATATATGCCAAATAAAGAGTAACAAACACACCACCTGATTACCAGTATCAACCAATGCAGTGGGCTGAAGATAATGAAACATAAGAAGCAAAAATACAGAAGTCATAATGGGATAGACTTACTTGGACATTGTTGACAGCATGTAGCACGGATGGGGGTGTATCCAGAGAGATGTTCAGAGGACCAGGGGAAGTAACAGGAGCCAAACAAGTGAAGCCAGACATATGATTGACAGATGGGATGGAGGGTAGACTGTTGTCAACAGAATCCTTGAAGGAAATGGTACCAACATGGATAGGGTCAGACTGAGGTCCAGTAATGAGCAACTGATCCAACACTGAGGGATGAGAAGAAGACACAGAAGGAGCATCCAGCTGGAAAGATGTAACATTGCTGATCAACACAGCAGAGTAAGAAGGGATAGAGGGGCCAGCATCAATTGACCATGTGCTTTGAAGAGCAGAAGTTGGTGCATTGGACATCATTACAACCAATGTGGAGGGAGTGTTGATGAGCTGGTTGACAAAGGAGGCAACATTGCTGTCATCACATTCCCCAAAAATGTTGATGACAAAAGCATGGTGCATATTGTAGCAATACTCTTGGCCTAAAAGACAAACAATATTGCAGTTACTGGTCATGTTGGGCCACTTGCTAACATCCTTGTTGAGGACAGATTTCAGAGTGTTCTGCATATATGCTATAAGGAAACAGTAGGAGAAGGAAGATCATACAAGAGCCTGTGCCTTGAGATTGTCTGTTGATACTGGCCTTGATGAGTTGCTCCCACAAATGCAGCACAGTTGAAGGCATGGAGGACATCTTCAATGAGGTCAAACTTGAAGAGGGAAAGGACCAAGATGTTCAAAACTTTAAGAGAGACATACGGAAGCAAAAAGAGTGCACATAAGGAAGTTGATAGAGGAAGGAAGCAAAAAGTGGGCCAAGGGTTTACATGTGCATTGAGCAAATATAAGGAAATGAGTCAGGGGTGAAGGTAAAGAGAAAAGCAACCAATGAAGAAGTGGAATGGCCCAGAGCATGCAGCAAAGGAGTCCCATGGGGCGAGGGCCAATTAAGTGACTGGTAATACCAATGAGAAACATTAACACCAAGGTGAGGATTGTAGGACACCAAACACAGTGAGAGAGATCAACATTTACTGTATTGTAGTTAATAATCCAAATTCAACAAACAAAAAACAACAATCAGATATGGACCAAAGCATGGTACAATGTAAGCAGACACATGATAGAGCTCACAAAACCAAGACTAATTATCGACACCCATATGAATGTTCACAAGTTGATGGTGAGCAGATGCAAGAGAAACAGTGTTGTCAATGTACTCAATCACAACCAAAGATGAGATAGAATTAGCTGACAATAAAGCCTGAATGCATTGCAGACAACCAAGTAAGATATCGGCCAAGGGGACTAGAAACCACAAGAATAAGTACCATTGAAAAAAGACAGGAGAGCGCATTGACTGGTTTTTCAACAGTGTTACAATCTGACAATTTCTGTTTCTTCATTGGTGGACTGGACAAGGTATTTCCTTGAGCATGCTTGCCAGGATGAGGAGACAGACCCAGGTTATGAATAGCTTGATAGATCTTGGCATCTAGAGATAAATATGAGAATGACAGTAAACAAGACACAAAAGGATAAGGGGGATCACCATGCTGCAACAAACAGGTCAGATTGGCTTTCCAACAACTGTCACATCCCATTCCAGACTTGCAAGTATGCTTCACAGAACCGGAACAACAGACACGTGCAGTATCCACAACCTAGGCAATGATCTGCCTGACATGCCTTTTGAGACATTTTTCACACTACAAAGGCAATGAAGAAATGAAGAGCTGAGCAGCATAAGACATACCCAACAAATGCCAAGAGGAGGAGATGGGTCAATCTGAGCTACCATGAGTATGAGACCACAACCAAAAGACAGACACAACACACCTTCAACAGAGAATCATGACAGTCATGAGCACATGAACAACTCTGAAGAGGTGATAAAGAAAATGAAGTGAACCAAAAAAGACACTACTGTAAACAACAATAACATCAACAAATAAAACAAACATAACACACTGTACACACCTTACAGCATCTGAAGGAAAATCATTGCCAGATAAACCAGACACAGGTGAACCCAAAGAAACAGCAGTAAGCAAGGGTTGATGGGAGTGACCTTGAATAGAAGAGCCTGATTGAGGAGAGCCACCAGACACATTTGCATTGGACTGACAAGAGGAATGAGACAAAGGACAAGAACCAAAGGAGCTTAAAAGAAGAGTACACACATGGGAGTCATCCAAGTCAAGAGATGAAGCCACACAGCTCATAGCAGACTACAAAAGAAAGCATAAGCATCAAAGACAAATGGACCAAGATAAAGATGCACACTGAACTGAGCTGACACAAGTGTATCTTGTGCTGGCAAGATGGACTAAGAACAGAAGGTTACTACAGAAGACAAAGAGGAAGACATACACATACAGACCAAACAAAAAGAGGAACAGAAGAGACATCAGCAATAGATGATCCAAACGGCATGACCTATAAGGAGATTAGCTTCAGTAAGTGAAGCCACAGCAACAAGAAAACACACAGAGTTAACAACAGATACAGTCTCATCCAACATGGCAGACGCAGGTAAAGCATCAATGGGGGAGACCTCATCATCCAAAAACATGTTCTCCAGCTAAACAAAATGTCACAATGGAGAGATAAAAAAGAAAGAATGGGACAAACAATGCTTATAGGATCACCAGAAGCCTCAACAACCTTCAACCTATCAAGCTCTTGATGCAACTCATCTGCATGGATCCATGCATCCAAGTGCTTCTTCACAACCAAATACCAATCATTGCCAAACAGATCTTTAAGGTGAGGAGAGAGACGGAGGAGGGAAGGCAGATGACTGTAAATATGGTCCGCAATGACAGATTTGAATTGAGAAAGCCAATTTTGGCCAAGCCACATGAGAACTTTTGGAGTAAGCTCATCAAACAAGCATTCACACACTCAGACAAAACAGACTGAGATAAACATAAGTTTAAGCAATGAAGAACAAGAAACCAAATTTACCATGCTTGATGATGAAACACAGGGATGGGTTATGAGCAACCAATAAGCCTCATGACCAGGCATAGATGCATGGATGATGTTCTTAAACTGCTTCATTGTACTAGCCAAAATAGGAAGCAAACCTTCAATGATGTTGGAGACAGAAGATGAAGAGACTGCTTCATTGACTGCAGACAAGGAAGGGGCCATTGTAGAATCAAATTTGATGAGGACAAGAATGAATGAAAGGGACAAGGACAAGGTAAACTAGTGAACAGCAGCACAGATGGTTGACCAAGACAGCACAGCATATCCACTAGGCACAAAGATGCAACCAGATGATCAGAAGAGAAGGAATCACATGCATATACATGGAGAGGGAAGCAAAAAACGAAAGACAGAAAGAGGAAATGAGAGATATCCAGTAGTACTGTAGGGAGAAAGTACGGATGAAATGACCCGTAAATAGAGAGCGGAAGAAACTGGCACAAAACACACAGCCGAGAGGGGAAGCGGAGAATAAAAAAGGAAGCAAATAGAAGAAAACAGGTTTCCACAGAATAAAACAAATTTCCATAAACTCTCCTACACGAAAAACCTCGACGCATTCCCGGAATGACATTAACCTACCTCTTACGAGCTAGGTAATTGTTCAGTACGTAACATTCATCCGCATGGCGATATACTCGCCCGCCGTGATCGGCTCGTACTTCTTGGGCACCGTTTCGCTCCAGCATCCGGGTATGCAGTCGATCACGGTGTCACGGTTAGCACTGCAGAAATAAGGAATTGAGTATCTAGGTGGCGTCATGCGCACTGTGGCGCCCAATGCGTCGATCTTGTCCGTATCCTTGACTGGCGGCGCACGAACGCGATGCAATGTCGACTTAAGTACATCGTTGGACCAGCGCATCAAGAAATCGCCGATCTGCACCGGCGCATCAGGCGAGGCAAGCAGAATAGCGGCACAGGACGCACATTGACAATAAGGGCACCACGAATAGGCGGAGCAGGGCTGAAGATGCCGGGATGGTGAGGATCTTCCACCTCGAGTCCACCGCAATCATCTTGAGAAAGCATCGTGAGTGTTCCAAAGTCAGAGTGAGCGCCGATACGCTCCTTCTCGCCACCTCGCAGTGCACTCTCCTCGACAGGCGGATAGTGCAACAGCCGGAGTTGATTGGTTGAATCAGTATGGTAGATGTCGAAGAAATTCTCGTCTATACCCATGCCCAGCGCGATCGCGTGCATCACTTCCATCTGGGTCTGCCGTGCGGTGGTGAAATACTTGACACAAAACTCGCGGAATCCACTGATGGCAGCAGGATCAGGCCAGAGATTGGGGTACTTAGTGTCGGCCTCTGACCCGGACTCGAAGGATTCCTTCACATCAGGTGCTTTGCGCAGTTCAGCCAGTTTCTCCTTATCGAACACCATTTGAGAGACTTTCTCCTTTCCAATGCCAGAGTAGCCACGGTGATACTCGCCACTCGGAGGATGAGGGCATTTCATCTTTTCCTCGAGGGGAAGATCGAAAAACCTCTTCGACTATAAGAAACATGCTCTAGGTGAGTTCATCCTGATACACGCATTTTTGCGTCACTGCTCACCCATGCAAATGCATCATCCATCATCTCCACAGGAATACCATGGTTAATGAGATACACGAAGCCAACTGTGCGAAAAGCATGGAAAACTTGCTCGGCGACCTGTTTCCTCTGCTGTGGCGAGGTCGCGTTGAGAAACAGGCCGAAGTCGATAACAGGGACAGGAGAGTCTTGAATAGAGGGCATTGTTGGGTTGAAGTTCGCGACAGAAAGCAGTCAAGAAGCGAAATTAAGCGTTCGTCGAATGTGGTAGAGTTGGGTCCTCGATAAGAGTCCTATTTAGTCTTGTGAACAGAATTGTGGAGCGAATAAGCTGTTGATCATATATTGTCTAGGTCGGACTGGTGATTGCCGATCTCTGACGAAAGCGGCCGGGGTATGTCACATTCGGAGATCGATGGCTCTCCAAGCAATATCGGCAACACAAGAGAAAATGAAATTGAGCCTAGTGCCCTTGCTGTGAGGCCGGTTGATAAGTTGCCCAGAGTCGGAGACCCAGGGTGGTCACGTTGCAGAGAGGTAAGTCATCCTGTAATAAAGGATCGGAATTTAATACTCTGATCAGCTTCCGCAGAAAGAAGCGCCCGGCTAAATATTTTTTTGCCCGAATTGCACCGGTCTGACCGCTCCATTCTTGTGGTAACGATTGGCTTTGCACCGGCTTTATTAGCTTTGCCTATATCGGATACCTCAAAAGGAGTCTCGGAACTCAGGAGGTCTGGGCAACGCATGCGAACTATTATCCTTTCGAGGCTTGAACTCTAATGGCGGCTGTTCGGCGTCGGCTTCGGCTTCGGCACGAACTGGGGGTCGCTTGCTCTCAGATATTACAGTATGATTCTTTGTTGAGTAATACTGAGGTTCTCTCCTGGGACCAATCCTATCTCCCAGTCACGACCGGGCGCCTAATCCTGCTGGTTTGCATGATAATGAGACCAGAAGAAGACTGTCATGGGACCAGCCGTAGAGACGATAAGCCGAATCTGGTCAGCTGCCTCTATTCCTACATAAAGACTCTTGGATACATGATCTGTGGACTTCTTCACGGGTTGCTTCTTCTCCACGATTTCAACCATGTTCACAAAGGAGAAGCTGTCGTACTGGGCAAAACGGCTTAAAGTGTAAGATATCCCTGTGTGGCCTGCGACGCTGCTGACCGCAATTTGTAGCCCCGCCGACGAAGACGCGCGGTACAAGACCGACATCTGGTGCAATCGTGATCTTATTCCGATCCCTAAGGAACGTCGAACATGGGGCATCTGGGGATATTGTGGCTATTGGACCGTTTCGGGGTCCTGCGTTTCGGCTTGGACTATTGGTAGCACTATGCTTTCTTATGGCTTGAACGCCCAGCAGGCCATGGCATGCATCGCTGTCGGAGGTGTCATTACCGGCTTGCTCGCAATTGGCTGCGGGTGGATGGGAGAGGTGCATCACATTGGCTTCACCGTCTCATCCCGCTTCTCTTATGGTATGCGAGGCGCGTATATTCCAGTTATTATCAGATGTGAGTCGTTTTCACTCGCAGGCTTGCCGCTTTCATCTCAGGGTGAAATATAGCCTTCACGGCTTGCATGTGGGCCGGCTTTCAGCTCTTCTGGTGCGGTCAGTCCATCTAGGCACTAATCGGCGCTATTATTCCCGGATTTGAGGATGGAGCGCTCAAAGAACTGTTCTCCGAGACCTCCCAACGTCCCAACTTGCTAAGAACGACTTCATCGGCTTCATCATCGCATTGATTCTTTTCGGATTTCTTGTTCTTGGTAAGCGTATGCGACCTTTCCCTTCATTCTTGTTGATTTGTGTAAATTACCGCCTGAGAAGATGCAAAAGCCTTTCATCGCATCATTTACAACATTCGTGGGCACTATGTTCGGAATGCTTATTTGGGCCGTGCACGCGAACGGTGGCTCTGCCGGACCTCTATTCAAGTCCGCTGCTACTACAGATAACGTCGGCTGGGCTATCATGTATGGAATAACAGCTATGATCGGATCCTGGGGTGCCGGATGTCTCGGCCAGAGTGACTGGACAAGGTATGCCAACAGGTGAGACATTTCCAACATGCGCTGTCCGCACCTCATACGTCTCCAGACGCGGTGCCCCTACGCTTTCGCAATTGATTTTTGCTCCGATATTTATCACTATTACTGCCTTGATTGGCGTCGTTGTCACGTCCTGCACCGTTGAGATACTGGGGTTGGAGACGATCATATGGAACCCCATCGATTTGCTTCCGGTCATCCAACAATTCTACGGCAACTCTTCCGGCGCGAGGGCAGCCGTTTTCTTCGCTTCGATCGGCCTCGTTCTTTCACAGCTAGCCATTACAGTGGTTCTGAACTCTGTATCCTGCGGCATGGATATGGCCGGCCTCGCCCCCCGGTGGCTGAATATCCGCCGCGGAGGCTACCTGATGATCATCGTCGGTGTTCTCGTCCAACCATGGACTCTGGTTGCAACTGCTCAACGATTTTTAACCGTTCTGTCTGGCTTCAGAGTCTTTATGGCGCCCATGACAGGTACGCATCCGAAAATTTCTCTTCTGATGACTCATTTTTTTATAATTGGAAGGTGTTATGCTTGCCGACTACTTCGTCGTCCGGCAGCGCAAGCTGAAGTTGAACGACTTGTACCGTGGGGACTCAACGTCAATTTACTGGTATAATCGGGGATTTAATTGGCGTGGATTTTCTGCATTTGGCCTGGGTTCTGTTTTCCTTTTCCCCGGATTTATTGCCGCCGGAGGGGGGTACAGTATCCCGATTGCTTGGCTCAGGTTGTTTAACCTCACATTCATCCTCGGTACTGTCTTCTCATTCATCGCTTTCCTTATTATCAACTATTTCTTTCCACCACCTGGTCTGGGTGAAGAATCGCCATTCTACCTCGATGGAGCAGACGATTATGCGACAAAGGGTGATTGGAAGGCGGAGATTGGTGCAAAAGACGAAGAGTCGGCCTCGGAAGAGAAGGCAGCTGAAACGGAAATTTCGGAATTCCCGGTACTTTGATAATAAATACAGAAGATGGTTTTCAACTTTCATCGTCTTGTCGCAATCTCAATTTGCTGTACTGAGGAAAGAACCTGCCTTGAGCCGAAACTGATGGTTTACGGGTAGTCATATTTTCCCCCGATTTCTGTACGAGCACTACACGCGAGAGGCAATACGAGATGGAATGAATGGCATAGTCTCCTTTTATTCCTCCTGTTTTGCATGATTTGCGGTTTACACGATCGATGTAGGCTGATCACGTGATGGACCGGCCCATACCTGGGTGGCAGGGTCGTGTATCAAGACTTGTTTTGAAGATTCTAATTCTACGACACATGCAGATCTGTGTGAGAATTTGAGAAACAACTCCCGGGAGACGAATAAAGAGTCCTGTGCCCTAAAGGAATGTACTCATTGACCTTTTGGTAAACCAAACCTGCTCCGACGAACTCTCATTATGCAATTTAACGCAAACTGTCCAACCTAAATTGTAAATCTGATTCCTAGAACATTATCCTGCGCTGCTGTCAGGGCTTAAACAGAAATACAGGCAGTATTACAAACTCACAAGTGTTTCCCACTGTTCCTGATTAAAATGGTGCGCAGTGGGACACAAGGGGAAAGCAAAAAATCTCCTGGAAAAGGTCCGTGATTCATTCTAAAATGGCCTGGACACCTCCACTGGATGGCTTTGGAGGAATTCTCACGGAGATATGCAGTTGGAATTCTTGGCAAACACGGAACCGAGTGTTCAACTCCACGCGGAGCATACCCACTAATTGACTGAGAACGTGCGTGACAAAGATGTCACGCACAAGCTCGGATTGAAGATATCCCGAAAGATTGGATTGGCTCAGAAAGGTGAGCCTGCTAATCGCGGGAAAGGTTACTTGGAATGCCGATCTCCAAATCTAGACCATCTGTCACTGCCAAGGTGGCAACCGTCAGTGATGCACAATGACTGAAGCATCAAGGTCCAGTGACGCGAGAAGTGTATGAAAACACCCAGGAAAAGGACTGCGCGGGCAGGATAGCGTAGACACAAGAACAGCAAGACCGCCCTTCCCGGCGGTACAGAGACGTATCAGTAGAGGCGCCTATCTCGATTTGTATGTGGCGCTGCGGTTGTCCAATGTTCGCGAAAGTTTCCAGGTAGCTCGATCGGATAGAGCTCCGTTTGGTTGACTGAGCCGTGGGGCTGGACCAGAATTGCACAACTCCTGCGGCATGACTTGAGGAAGAAGCGCCACAGGCGGGGTAGCCGTGTGTCCCCAGTGGAAATGGCGCAAGTGGAGGCAACATCCAATGCGGTATATCGCCGTTTGAAGTTGTTCTATGTCGTCAGTGTACGTGCTTTTGCCACGCGCCGAAGTGCCGGACAACTAGCCAACGCCCAGAGGATAAGGAAATGAGCTGTCGCAACGGAACATGATCCGCGGGGATGAATGTTATGGAGCATCGATATACCCAGTACGGTAGCGAGATGATATGTGCAGAAAGGCAACGAGTGAGTAATGCAGCATATTTGCTGTGCGCGGCAAAAATTGAAATCGGGTAACACATCAGAAAATCTTCGTCCAGATTGTGGTGCGTCGCGCAGGATATTCATATCAGATACAGCAAGGGATCCTTAGTCCGATGGCTCACCAGAAGGCATAGCTTAATAGGCAAAGTGAATACCGCGGTAGAAATGTTTGCTCCAGAATGCAAAGGAAGAGAAATTCCTTCTACATGCAGCTAGAGGGCGTGAATCCTGTTGTGTTTGCTGGAAGAAACATGACCGCCAGCCACAGGTTTGGAAATCCCATGTCCGGATGAAGGTAGGAAGCGAAGCAGAAGCAGGCCACGAGACGTCGCGAAAAATCGTGTGGCTTCGTCATGCCTCGTGGGGTGACGTGACCAGCACAGGCACAGGTTTGTTTTGCGATCCCGCGAGGCGCACCAAAGCGTTCGTCCATCGTTTTGGGTCGAACAAAGCGATATGGCCCGCCGATGAATTTGCGTGCCAAGGTTGATATTGAGAGTAAGATGCTGTCCTTTTCGCATCTATGCCGTCTGGAAATGGATCTGATCAACATGACCGCATATGTATGTGGCGATGCTGCGGCGCTGGCAAGAAGCATTCGGACGTCCGAATCCCCGCGGGGGTAAGGGCATGTCGAGGCAGGTGAAGAACGAAGGTGCGGGTACGTTTGGGCCGTTCCCCCTTTGCCCCTTAGCGTAGAGTCGCCGGCGAGCGCAGGAAATTGCCAGTGCAAGCAAAGGGGTCGGATATACCGGCAGTAGAATGCCGGCTTGCGCGCCTGCCTGTCCAGCTGCCCAGGCCTAGGCGGGAGAGTGCGAAAGGCATACGTGTACGCGTGCTTGCCTAGGCATGCAGGTCTCCCGTCCTCTCCCTCTTGTTCTCAGCGTTCAAGTGACTCGTTCCGCTTGCGCCCTTATCTCACTCTCCTTATCCTCTAATAAGGGTACAACTCCCCTGAGGACTTGACGTCGTTTCCCACCGCCTCCTCGACCACTCCCGTCGTAGCCTTTCGACTCTCGTGACCATGTCTACCCGCATCTCCATGCGCGCTTCATCGCGCTCCTCTAGCAGAGGTCACGGCGTGCGCCCCTCTTCGTCCCCAATGGGCCGCGTCCCGCTAGCAAACGCAGCTGTATTTGTGAACGGCAAAGGCCGGGTGCATATGGGTGCGTCCGACTTCCTCTCCGTCCCCGCTGGCTCTCCAGGGTCTCGGGGCACTTGTTCGTACGACCATCATGTCTAACGGTAGGGTGTGCACAGTGCCGCTGAGGATCATCAACCGCCCGATTATGCCAGAGATAGACGAGGAGAAAGTGACAACGTTTATGGAGGATATGGAGGTACGTGTTGCGCGATTTATGGAAATGCTGCGTTCGCTGCGGCTGCTTTCAACATTCCTTTCCCTTCTGATTTGTCTTTACTTCGGCTTGTCCATTGCGCCATTTGTTGACTGCGTGAGTCCACCCATGCTGACCTGATCCGACAGGCAGGGGACGACTTCCCGCCAATCGAGGTCCTCCGTGTCGTCCTCCCGCCAGTAGACGACGGTGAGATTGAGCGGCGGTACTATTTCTCCTTTGGGGGTTGTCACAGGTATGTTTCGTCCCATGGGTTCTGGTCACTTCTTGTTTCGTGTTTCGATCGGGCTTTTCGTTTTTTGTGGCCTACGGGCTGGGAGGGAGACGAACCACGCGTCGCGCTCGCGCATGTCGAGGTGCTGGTTTTGGCAAGGCCGCTGGGCAGTGATGTCTCCTCTGCTGGGCCGCACGAGTTGTGTGGGAGGGACAAGCGTTGGGAAAGTTCGGGGTGTAGTTGCCTAAGGGTTCGCCGAGCCGCAGAGTCGACGACAACGTCTAACTCTGATACTGATTGTGGCCGGATCGGAAAGAGAAGTGTCGCGTTTTCCCACGCGCACTCTAGAAAGCACTCTTGAGTGGAACCTTTCGTTCAATCAAACGCTCCTTCTTCCTTCAGTCGAAGAATGAGCTAATATCTGTGATGCTCAGGTACGAAGCCTGCCAGCGCCTGGGGAGATCCTCGATCAAGTGCAAGATAATCGACGTCCAAGGGCACATTATCCGGCAGCACCTAGGGGCGAGCTGTCCCTTCTGATCCGGTCCATCCAGTCTGGGCAGCAGGAGTCGTAGTGAGAGGGGAGGTGTTGGTGGGCGCTTATGGCGGGCCTGAGGGGCGCCCAGCTGAAGGAGAGGGAGGCCGAGCCTGTTTCGGGTTGGGTTTCGGGCATCCAGAGGCTCAGCATCCGGCATACGTGCCTCCGTTCCTCTCTGGAGCTCCAGGCTGTCGACGTCCTCAAGGTATGTATGGTGTGGAGCGGCCTGGCCAGGTGGATAGTTCGGGAAGGATGAGGAGAGGAAGGTTCTGTTCGGTCGCTGTTTTTTAATCACTACTGACCCCATCGTTTTGCAAATAAACTCACTTATCTATGTATTTGTACGCATACCCCCGTCTATCCTGAATATCAATATTTGATTACTGTATTCGGGTTTTATACTTGAGACTCGGGCGAGACGGTCAAACGGGCGCTCGGCTGGGTATGCTTGATCATCCTGGTCCCTTTAAAAAAAGGACTGGGCTCCACGATGAATTTATATTGCCGAAAGCGGCATGTTGTAATTGCTACCCTTATGAAGTCATGATCGGGGTATTATTGAACAAGGGCGCAGAGATGGAAGCGCTCATTGGAAGGAAGAAGCGGGCGGAGCGGAATCAGAGGGCGGTGAGAAGCGGGAGAAGGGGAAGAAGCGAATATAGAAGCAGAGAAGCAGGTCAGGGACAGAGGAGGGGTTCACGGTTAACATAGAGGGGGTGGCTCATCTAACGAAACACTTATGCTTGCCTCTTATTTATCTGGGATTATGGGACTACTTTGTTACCCTGTTCTCTACCTTGACTGCTGAATTGAGAAAATAATCTGAGAGTTGACAATAGGAAGGACAAGTCATTAATTAGGCACGATTGAACAACCCCTTGCAATTGTCGAGGGGAGAAGTGCACGGTGGAAAAGTGGAAAGGAAGGTCACATATCCCGTGGCTGTCATCCTTTGTTCGCCCTCTTATTACCCTTCCATCGGGGCACACAGCCCTACCCACTCCATCTCTCTTCACCACCCCTTCATGCCACCGTTCGACCACCCACCTTCAGCGTTCGTCCAACCTCGCCAGCAAGGAGAAGCACACCAGTTTCCTCTTCCTCCATCGAGAGGATCGCTTAACCCACCAAGGTACTGGCAGCCAACGACATGGTATGACACCGCCGAGGTGGTCGAGTACGAAGGGCTGCGGTACCAATGCACAGGGGCCCACGTCTCCGGGGAGAGCCTGACGGTGAGCATGACCTCATTCCCTATTCCGAAGCAGGCTCACGGGTGTGATGAACAGCCTAGGAATGCGCTGGCCACGTGGATTCCTGTGGAGAAGCCAGATACGCCCGCGCCTCCTGGAGAATCACTCGCTCTGACCGCCCCTTTCCCACAAGTGCAACTATGTAACGAAGGAATGGACGACCATGGTTTCATACCGCCGACAGAGCCGCCCCCGGAGTACCCGACTCCTCCTGGCTCACCACCAAAGGTGTACGCGGACGCGAGTGTACAGACGGACATCTCCTTCCCCCCGGACGTCACTTTTCCCGCATGGATGTTTACCGCCTTTCCCCAATCTGGAAGTATGACTTTCGCTCCCCCGCCGGGCAACCCATGGCTTCCCACCCAAGCAACCTTTTCAGGCGCGACGCAGCTACAGCACCATCCATTCTCTGCATCTCAAGCGTACATCCGCCCCCCACAACCCCCGATATACGCACCGATGCCCCTGCACCTCCCGCTGCGCCTCCCACCCTCCCTCGAGTCCGTCCTCGCACCCATCTCGGACCCGCTGGACGCGCGGTACCGTTCTGCTCGGACGGCAGAACGCGCCAAGCAGGGGATGAGCAGCTTCAGGGGCGAAGTAGCGGGCGAAAGAGTCGTAAGGAGTCATGCTTGTGGTGTGTGGGCGTTCGGCGGGGCAGGGGAACGAGATCGCGCGCTTGAGAGTGAGAGGGAAGCAGCGTGGAGGGAGTGGGGTACCCGCCCGGAGACTTGGCTCAGAGCTGCAAGGGCTAGGAGAGCAGCTTACGCAGTCCCTGGGGCTGTTAGGCCGCCCATCCGGTGGGTATTAGTCGAGGAAGGTCAGAAGATACCGGAGGACGCGCTCCAGACGGGCGCGGAAGCGACGGGGGAGCCGTTGTACTCTACAAGGGTGTGGTGGCAGGGAGGACTTCATTTGGGAAAAGTGAGCGCATCCCTTGATTAGGAGTGCGAGAGCTGACTCAAGTGATCAGGCTGCGAACCATATCTATAATTGTAAGTCTGTCGCTCTAGCAAGGGATGACGGCTCATTAACGTAATGCGATAGACGCCTCTATCTCCTGGGACTCGCAAGAACACACCACCCCAACGTTCGAAGTCCTCTGCGGGCCCTCAACACACGTCCAATGGCTCGAAATCCCACACGGAACACGGGTGACCCCTTCCCTCTTCCACACACTGAGCGCCGTGGAAGGAGGGCGCGAAGCAACAGGAACATTCATCTTTGTTGCGCAGGGAGAATATGGGTTCGGAGGGGCGGTCGGTCTGCATCCTGGCAAGGCGAGCGCGGGGGACGACCATGCTTGTATTGGGTATGGAGGGGGTGAGGTGTGGATAAGGCCGTTTAGGCTGTTGGTGTATACCCCTTCGTCTATGGGTTGAAACTGGACGGACACTGGCTCCTTGCTTGGCTGAACATTTTCTGGCTCTCTTACTCTTGTTCCCCCGCGACTGCTCGCTTTTCTCAGCATATCAAGCCAACATACCCCACATTTCACAGCACACGTGCGCATACACGTCGAGTCAACGAACGAACATCTACAGACGGAAACCGACAGACCGACGAACCTCCAAGCCCCAAGCCACCCGCACATCATACGCATCATATCACATATTCACGCCGCACGCGTTACCGCTACCTTACTCGCACATATAACCGGCTTCGCTCCTCTAGGGGTGACGAGCACGGTCCGGCTCTACTTGGTTCCCACACCAGCTTCATATCCAAATCACATGCACATACAGCACGTCTCTTCGGTTTGCTCTTACGACTCCGGCTCTCGGGACTTCCCGACAACGGACAAGTCATGCACGTTTGGCTCTCTTTTTTGGACTATTTGTCGGTGTGCGCTGGGCTCCATGCGCAATAACACGTCGATCCGCACGCGTTTGTACATACCTTAGGTCGCTTAATTCTCCCGGCAGCTTCTTGCGCCAACACGCTCCAGCACTCAGCCCACAGGCACACGAACACAAGCATGCACGTCGTCCTCTCTCTATCGACTGACACTGACGCTGACATCAGGCCCGCATGAAGTACGACGTATGATACACGTAATCTCTCTTCAAATCCTTGTGCTTTGACCTGCCAGCGCTTGGGGACTCTTTGGGGAGGACGGAATTTCTCTTCTTGCATCCTTGCCACTCGCATATCGAACTC